TAACAAATAATGAAACAAAGCTCCCAAGTGTCTAGAAAGCACATGCAGAGCTAATAGTTTTTAACACAGTTCCCTCTGAGAGCAAAAATCTGTTTCTTAGTTTTTTCACTACTGATTATTTTCAGAGAACACCTGAGAGAAAGACTAGAGGGTGGCAAAATTACTTCGTTTTTAAAATTTATCTTTGTTGTTGGAAGTCATAAAGATATCCCCTTTTTCTCCCCATTGATCCCCTCCACGCTGCACACCCGCCCCCAGGCCTTCATCACACTATTGTCTGTGTCCATGGGTTATGCATATATGCATATAAATTCTCAGGTTAATCTCTCCTCACCTACCCACCCACCCCTGCTTTCCCTTTGAGATTTGTGCCTGTTGCATGCTTCTAAGTCTCTGGAATTATTTTGTTCATCGGTTTATTCTGTTCATTAGAGTCTACATATGAGTAAGATCATGTGATACTTGTCTTTCTCTGACTGGCTTATTTCGCTTAGCATAATACTCTTCAGGTCCCACCATGCTATCTCAAAGAGTAAGGGATCTTTCTTTTTTATAGCTGCATGGTATTCCATGGTGTAAATGTCCTTGAAGAGGCTTGATATGTTTTCAATCGTCTTGAACTTGTAGAGACTTGTTTTGTGTCCTAACATGTTGTCTATCTTTGAGAATGTCCCATGTGCACTTGAGGAGAATTCATATTCTGCAGCTTTGGGGTAAAATGTTCTATAAATGTCAATTAAATCCATCCGATCTATTGTGTCATTTAGAGTCACTGTTTCCTTGTTGATTTTTTGTCTGGAAGATTTATCCAGTAAAGTCAGTGGGGTGTTAAAGTCCCCTACTATGACAGTATTGCTGTCTCCATCTCTCCTTTAAAGTCCTCTAGAAGTTGTTCATTTCTTGTTCTGTTTTTTTCAGCCTATGTGAGCCTTCTGTTCTCAGGTGAGTCTCTTGTAGACAGCATATATTTGGGTCTTGTTTTCTTATCCATTCAGCTACCCTCTGTCTTTTGATTAGAGCATTTAGTCCACTTATATTTAAGGTTATAACTGATAGGTGCTTATCTATTGCCATTTTCTTTCTTTATGCTTATGTTTCCCTTCCTCTCTATTTGAAATTCTTATTACAGCAGCCCCTTTAACATTTCTTGCAATGCTAGGCAAAAATACTTCTGAGCCTTTGAAATATCTTAAAACAGTATGTTAACAGGTTCTTTTTTTTTTTTTTTTTTAAATATATCTTTATTGATTTCAGAGAGAGGAAAGGAGAGGGAGAGAGAGAGAGAAACATCAATGATAAGAAAGTCATTGATCAGCTACAGCCCACAACCCGGGCATGTGCCCTGTCCGGGAATCGAACCCCGATCGCCTGGATCCTAGGCCTATGCTCAACTGCTGAGCCCCGCCCCGCCGGGCAATAGATTCTTTATTTATGCAAATAGAACTAACAAAAATAATTAAATAATTGCAGGTTTAGCTTTTTCACAAAAAAGAAAAAAAAGGAAACAAAATGAAGGTCATAAACGGCAATTTAGGAGCAAACCACTAGGATGTATCTTGACCATTCCTTTTAGACCAGTTATTAGACACCTGATTTGAGCAGTGAACTATGGGAGAGGGGAGAAACTCTTCCAGACTTTTGTGAATCACTAGGAAACTGAAAGTTTATCCATGGCTAGTGATCACTCTCTTTCTCTGTTCCTTAAAACTTGCTTATGATAAAGCAGTCTAGACCATAGTTCTTCAAATTATCCAGTATAAACATTTCTCAAAAAAAATTTTATACCCAAAATATTGATATATGTATATACATCTTTCCCAAAGGTAGAAGCAACACAAATGTCCATCAACAGATGAATGAATAAAGAAAATGTAGTATATACATACATTGAAATATTATTCAAGCTTGAAAAGGAACGAAATTCTGACACACGCTACAACATGGGTGAACTGTCGGTACATTATGATAGGTGAAGTAAGTTACAATATGAGCAATAGTGCATGGGTCAACTCTCATGAGGCATCTAAAATGGTCAGACTCATAAGACGAGAGCTCAAATGGTAGTTGCCAAGGGCCGGAGGGATGAAGGAATGGGGTGTTATTGTGTAACCAGTACAAATTTTCAGTTTTTCAAGATGAATAAAGTTCTAGAGATAAGATAATGGTGCTTCTTGAACAACAATGTAAGGGTAATTAATACTACTCAATTAAACACCTAAAATGGTAAAAATTTATGTTAAAATGATAAAATTTAAATAATTTTAAAACTTTAAAAACACTCCTTTTTAGATTTCTACTGCGCACATCAGCTTTCCAAACGTAAATATAAGAGTGAGTACAATACAAGATCACCTATCAAACACCCATTAAGACTCAAATTATAAGGCACTCAGACAATGGGGTTAAAGGTAGAAGGAGAAAGTGTTAGAGAGTGAGGATTTTGGATTGTGGAGCACTGATTGAAGAAAGAAAAAGGGCACGGAAGTGCGCAAATGCTCCACTTGATGGAAAAATGCTTTTAGCAGAGTGGTGAAATGAAGGGCAAGAGTAGAAAAAGATAAGTCACACTCTGCTGATCTACAATGTCCCCCTAAAGCTACTAATCATTGATCATTTTATGAGTAAGAATGGTGGGAGGAAAATAAATCTACATAGTTAAAATGAGCTCTTCCATGCTAGAGTGTTAATAAGATGGAAAGAACACAAAGTTTGTCACCCAGTAGGCACTTTAGAAAGTAAATGAAGGTACCTTAACTCAGCTATCAAATCTGAATTAAACTAACTCATTAAACAATATAAAAGAGCATAACATACAAAAAGAAAAGAAACACAGAAAGATTTCACTGTCTTCCTTACTAAATATAATGCCTGTAAAATAAAATATACTAAACAAATATTTATTGAACAAAATGATCTTAAAAATATTATAATTTCATATACTTTTACTGATTTTTGAGTCAGATGTTTCTGAATTTTATTAATCAATTCTTCCAGCTCAATTTGTCACCAAATGGAAAATTGTTGTCACTCTTCTTTGTCTCCAACAAAAAATTTCAACCCAAATTTTTAAAAATATGCATATTTTTTATGAATGATAGCTCTAAACATGGTTTATGAACCTGGAGAAGTATTTTCATAGTGTTTTCCCTCTAAGCCTACCTACATCTGTGCTGCCACAGGCCTGGCCACTTCCTGTCTGTGATGACAATTCCCAGCCTTGGTCCCTACAGCAGGTGGATGCATAAAGCAGAGCTCTGGGGTATTGGTACACCTCCTTCCAACGCGCCTCTCACTGTGGGCTCCCTCAGGGCACAGAAATACACTGCAGAGTCCTCCAGCTGTGAGGCTGAGACGACAAGGTTGATGGAACTCTTTGCTTTCTGAAAATTCAATGAGTAGCGACCTTCTCTGGCATTTTGCTGGTTGTAGGAGTCCTGACGAAGAAGGAAAATCATTGCCCCACTGCTAAGCTGCTTGTACCAGAAGAGACTATAACTTGGATCACTGGTGTCATATGTGCAGTCCAGGGTCACAGCCTCCTTCTCNGGAGAAAGTGTTAGAGAGTGAGGATTTTGGATTGTGGAGCACTGATTGAAGAAAGAAAAAGGGCACGGAAGTGCGCAAATGCTCCACTTGATGGAAAAATGCTTTTAGCAGAGTGGTGAAATGAAGGGCAAGAGTAGAAAAAGATAAGTCACACTCTGCTGATCTACAATGTCCCCCTAAAGCTACTAATCATTGATCATTTTATGAGTAAGAATGGTGGGAGGAAAATAAATCTACATAGTTAAAATGAGCTCTTCCATGCTAGAGTGTTAATAAGATGGAAAGAACACAAAGTTTGTCACCCAGTAGGCACTTTAGAAAGTAAATGAAGGTACCTTAACTCAGCTATCAAATCTGAATTAAACTAACTCATTAAACAATATAAAAGAGCATAACATACAAAAAGAAAAGAAACACAGAAAGATTTCACTGTCTTCCTTACTAAATATAATGCCTGTAAAATAAAATATACTAAACAAATATTTATTGAACAAAATGATCTTAAAAATATTATAATTTCATATACTTTTACTGATTTTTGAGTCAGATGTTTCTGAATTTTATTAATCAATTCTTCCAGCTCAATTTGTCACCAAATGGAAAATTGTTGTCACTCTTCTTTGTCTCCAACAAAAAATTTCAACCCAAATTTTTAAAAATATGCATATTTTTTATGAATGATAGCTCTAAACATGGTTTATGAACCTGGAGAAGTATTTTCATAGTGTTTTCCCTCTAAGCCTACCTACATCTGTGCTGCCACAGGCCTGGCCACTTCCTGTCTGTGATGACAATTCCCAGCCTTGGTCCCTACAGCAGGTGGATGCATAAAGCAGAGCTCTGGGGTATTGGTACACCTCCTTCCAACGCGCCTCTCACTGTGGGCTCCCTCAGGGCACAGAAATACACTGCAGAGTCCTCCAGCTGTGAGGCTGAGACGACAAGGTTGATGGAACTCTTTGCTTTCTGAAAATTCAATGAGTAGCGACCTTCTCTGGCATTTTGCTGGTTGTAGGAGTCCTGACGAAGAAGGAAAATCATTGCCCCACTGCTAAGCTGCTTGTACCAGAAGAGACTATAACTTGGATCACTGGTGTCATATGTGCAGTCCAGGGTCACAGCCTCCTTCTCTTGCACTAACATTTCCTGTTGGTCTTGAGTTACCTTCTGGGCAATATTGGATCCTGAAGGGGGAAAAAATCAGAAGCTTTAGGGAGAAGTGGTGTGGGACAAAAAATTTCTTTTCCACATCCTGCTAGATTTCCATTTCAGGGTATCCATAACACACTGCCTGGACCCCCTGTACTCAGGTAATAGAGGAGAACCATCCCCACTAGGCCATCCCCACCTAGCCACATTGAAGCCAGGACCACTTTCAGAAAGCTGGAAAGCAACATGTTCAAGTTCTTCCACTAGGTGAAAAATGTCTTGTTCTTCTTCCTCCGTTTTGGGGCTCAGCAAAGTGAGGTGACTCTGACAGGGGGAGAGAAGAAATGCTGGGTTATGTGCTGCTGCTGCTGCCCCTGAACAGGAAACAGGGTTTCCTGGTGCAGCAAGTTGCTGTGGGTCACGTCAGACTTCTCTATGTACTGGCTGAGAGTGTCATCAACCCAAACTTCCTTTTGGATTAACCAACCCTTGATTTTAAAACAATTACATCTAAAAATGAACATGAGTAAAGTTGTATATTCAAAAGAAGACTGATGATTTGACCAACTGCTATGTTGAGTCTTTACATCTATGATGAAACTGGTTGGTGGCACTCATTTAAAAATACGACATGTAATTGTTTTGTATCATGATTATGTGATGATTACATGATCTATACAATGTATTCAAAATTCACACAACTGCCCTGCTTGGATAGCTCAGTTGGTTAGAGCATTGTCCTAATACCCCAAAGTTGTAGGCTCCATCCCAGTTCAGGGTACATACAAGAATCAACCAGTGAATGCATAAATAAGTGGAACAACAAATTGATCTCTTTCTTTCTCCCTCTCTAGAAAAAATCAATAAATAGCCCTGGCCAGTGTTGCTCAGCAGTTAGAGCATTGGGCCACAAACCAAAGGGTCGAGTCTTCAATTCCCAGTCAAGGGCAACTACATGGGTTGCAGATCGAAACCCTGGCTCTAGTCGGGACTCATGCAGGAGGCAACCAATGGATATGTCTCTCTCACATCGATGTCCCTCTCTCTCTCTCTCTTTCTCTCTCTCCCTCTTTTCCCCCTTCCTCCCTCACTTCCACTCTCTCTAAAAAAACCAAAGTGATGGGAAAAATCCTCACATGAGGATTTTTTTAAAACTCAATAAATAATATAAAATTTTCCAAAGTCACAGAACTATACACCAAAAATGGTCATTTTAATATGATTATTTAAAACAAAAATTAAAAAGACTGTGATCAAAATGGTGAAATATGAATTTTATACCATCTTCCCTCACCCAAAAATATTACCTAATTTTACAATCACACACTAAACTGAGTGCCTTTGAGAAAGTCCAGGAGTCCAGCAGAGAATTTACATTGTGCCAGAAATATAATGTGCAAGCAAAAATACCTGAGATTGAAAGCATTTTAAACGGTAAGATGAATTTCAAGAATGCCTAGTCAAACATCCACCCCGTGCAGCACTGCTCAGCACCAAGAGAAATCTTCTAGGTATTTGACTTTTCCCATAGGGAAAAGTGAGAGCATGTGAGTGAGTACCTAGCTCCCTCAGTTTTGGGGGCACTGCCAAAGACATACACGTCTTTCTGGCCTCATCCAGAATACTGAAGTGAGCTGCCCAAACCAGAAGTGGGGAACTCCTGGGAGAGCAGCAGCCAGGGCTCTCAGTGGGCATTAAAGGGACATGGATCCTACTAAGCACAACACAAACACCGTCAGGAATCTGCCCACAAGCTGCTGAGGATGCCTTGCCTGCGGAACCCCACAACTGGATCACAAGCACCCCCAAAACTCAGCACCTCACCCACATACCATCCCACGCATCTACCAGTGCACACAGGAAGGCAAAAGGAGTGAGCCACTGATCACAATGAGATGCCACCTCACACCAGTTATAATGACCATTATCAACATGACAAAAAATAACAAGTGTTGGAGAAGTTGTGGAGAAAAAGGGACCCTAGTACACTGTTGGTGGGAATATAAACTGGGACAGCCACTATGGCAAACAGTATGGAGGATCCTCAAAAAATTAAGTGTATAGTGACTATAACCCAGAAATCCCTCTTCTGGTTATCTACCTGAAAATTTTGAAAATATTTATTTATAAAGGTATATGTACCCCTGTGTTCATTGCAGCATTATTTCCAATAGCCAAGACATGGAAGCAGCCTAAGGGCCCCTCGGCAGATGACTGGGTAAAGAAGCTGTGGTACATGCACACAGTGGCACACTACTCAGCCATGAAAAGAGACTAAATACTGCCATTTGTGAAAACCTGGATGGGGCTGGAGAATATCATGCTAAATGAAATAAGTCAGACAGAAAAAGTGAGAAAACATAGGATTTCACTCCTATGTGACATATAAAACTGAAACAAAGCAAACAAGCAAACAAACAGAAGCTCATAGACACAGACAACAGTGTGGTGTTTTCCAGAGGGAAAGAAAGAGCGGAGGGTGGGAGGGAGGCAGAAGAGGGTAACGGGGTCAAATATATGGTGACTTAAACAGACTTGACTTCGGGTGGTGAACACAGTATAATATACAGATGACACAGAACTGTATGCTTGAAACCTATATAATTTAATTAATCAATGTCACCCCAATAAATTTAATAAATTCTTTAAAATTAGCCTTTGCAGATGGCTAGTGGGCATGCACAGAAAGGGCTCCAGTCTGTAGGACTAGATGAAATCACACAAATTTCAGCAGTCAACTGCTGAAAGCAAGCACACCCACTTTGGCTTTGCAATATCAACGGAAGGCCTAGTTTGTAGTAAATTGTCCAGAGGTGGTAGGAAAAAAATACACCAACCACGGTGAAGGGTTAAAGCTTGAGTGTGTCTGAGTACATACTGACTGCACATCTGGCTAGAGCATTTCTTTTTCTTCCTTTAAGTAAGTTCTCACCTAAGTGTGCTAAAGCAATTATTCCATAAGCATTGTACCCTCTCTCTCTCTCCTAGCTTGGTTTAAGAAAAAGAGTCCAATAAAATAGAAGCCATGCATCTCTCTTCCTGCATCAGTCTTAGAGGAAATGGAACAATCTAGAATCACCTTGCTTTTACTGGACAGGAGCTAGTGGTTATAGTGAGGGAAATTAAAAAAAAACAACCATTGAGGTGTTGAGCTACGATACTGTACTTTCTTGTTCACATGTTATAAACCTAATTTAATCTGGTGACTTTCCTTATAAGAACAAAACAGTTAGCTAGAACAAAAGAAAACTTAGCCAGAGGGATTATCTTTCCATACCAATTGCCAGTTATGTCCATCCTTAGGAAGAATGTAAGAGATCTCAAAAATAGCCTACACTTGACCCCGGGTGGGAGAATTGGGGAATTAATTATTTATGCAATGTATTTCATTCCATTGATTTATCCATAACACTAGAAGAGAGAATTTTTAAAAAAGAAGGTTATGGTTAGTAATGCTTCATTCAGTCATAATATGAAGATGAGGCAGGGAGATCTGTAGCAAACTGTTTCTAAATGAGTCCAATGCCTTTGTGCAATCCACTAAAAATAGGAAGGTGGCTAATCAATACATACAAAAATTTCTCATAAACTTCAGAAAGTAAGATTTCAATAATATTGGGGAAAATTTGCAAGTCTAGGAATAAATTTAATTATCTTAAAATAACGAATCTTTATCTAGAAGGACGAAGATATAAAAGGAAAGAAATAAGATGTTCTTGGACAATGGGTAATGAAATATACATATTAAAGAGATTTGTTCACCAGTCAATTTATGAATTTAATTCTAACATAAAGCTTAAGTTAAAATTATGAATCAATAGCATAATTCACATTTCCTTCTTTCTTTAACAAACATCTACTGATAACTATGTGGAAAAATTTGGGCTAAGTACTGCAGCTTTAACAGTGAATGAAACACAACTCTGTCTTTTAAATTCTATGAGAGAGTAAATATGAACAGATACATATAGAATTTGGTTTGTAAGTTTAATCAGAAACTCACATTCTAAAATAATTTCCTGTCCTAATTTCCTCAAATGCACAAATAATATATATCATCTCTGGGTGCTAAAGGAAACCTGCAGCACATTTTCTTAACAAGAAAGTGGTCAGAGCACATAGAAAGGACTGTCACAATTTGCCACAATTATAGAAGAAAATTAACATAAAATTGAAAAAAAAAATTTATTGATTTCAGAGAGAGGAAGGGAGAGGGAGAGAGAGATAGAAACATCAATGATGAGAGAGAGTCCTCGATCAGCTGTCTCCTGCACAACCTCTGCTGGGGATCGATCCCGCAACCTGGGCTTGCTCCCAGACCCGGAATGGAACCGTGATATCCTGGATCCTAGGTCGATGCTCAACCTGTGAGCCACTCTGGCAGGGCCTGAAATTTATTACAATCATTCACAGACCTATTAAAAAGCAGACGTTTGATAAGATTTGATAAAATGAGGAATGCTCAACTCAAAGTATATTAAGTGAAAAAATCATGAATCTAATAACAATAAAAATTGATAGAGTTATCTAAAACTTAGCAATATTATCTAAATACAGAATTTTCTATTTCAAATTTTAGTATTTCACATATTTCCTATATTTGAAATACAAGGTGGGCAAAAGTAGGTTTACAGTTGTAATACAAATAAATAATACAATAATTAATCAATAATAATACAAGAATAAGTTCTGTTTTGCGTCCACACAAGGGTAAACCTACTTTTGCCCCACACTATATGTTGATTTATAATCACAAAAATAATAAACGCTGTCTTCAAAATACAATATTTAAAAGCCCATCTATCATAACAGTTATGATATCCATACTAAGGAGTTTTTTATAGGAGAGATTTCAAATATTAAATGTAAGGTCTCCTTTATAGTCTCAATTTTGACATAAAACATTCTTAAATTCCTTTAAGAATCCATTATGCAGTAGTCATCAAATAAACTGTTCTAACCCTTTGTGGGTCATCTTGAAACTAACCTTCCTACTATGTGTTTTTAACATACAACACATTAGTTTCCCCTTGGAGACAGGCAATATGACAAATGCTATGCTTGAAGGTCTGTCCCAAGCAGAGGGGGCTGCCCCCTTGCAGGTTTGTGTACAGGGTGCAGGTGCCTGGGGAGCAATGTGCACTCGCTGCACAAAAGTACACAGCTGCGTCTCCAGGCTGCGTGGCCGCAATTTGCAGGGAGAGATGCTTGGCCTCTTTATTCAATAAAACAGTGAGTCTTCCATCTTCTTTTTTGTCCTTATTTGAACGAATGTCTATAATGAGCTGGGGGCCTTTTCCAGGTTCTGTCTTGTACCAAGGAAAGTAGTTTGAGGCACTGTCTGAATAAGAACAGGTGATAACAGCGGGGTTTCCCTCCTGGACACTCAGGGTAGAAGGACTCTGCTCCACTTTCTCTCCTCGGCTGACCCCTGTGCAGAAAGAAAGAGTCAGAGAAAGGAGAAGGGAGGCCATATCATTATGCTTCAGAATTTCCTTTTTCTACAGCAAATAAGGAACCCTGAATAAAGCCAGTGTTGGCTCCTAAGAATATCCACTAATATACTCTGTTTCCCATAGACCCTCAACTCACAGTCCAGCTGCAGCCACAAGAACATGAAGGAAGCTCCAGTGGATGTCTTCATCATTCTTCCCACTTAGGATCGATTGTGGGCCTGCAATCTACAGCCAGGGGACCTACTGCTGTTCCCAAGTCATCCCTCCTTTCCTCTGACAATCACAGGGTGTCTCATGTTCTCTACCAGCCAATAAGAAAAGGCTGTGCTTCTGCCAAAGTCTATTCCTTCAGAATCCACTAAAATGAACCCGCCACACATTCTGCATCAGCAGAGGTGCACTGCCATCCTGTGGCCACATCTCTAACTACAGAACTCGTTGGGTACATGTTCTTCTCTTACCCTGTGCCTATGGGGGACTCGGGTGCATAAAAACAGCAATAGGTCAAACAAATTAAGTCAGGACAGAGAATAACGGAGAACATGGAGATCAAGGTTTATATTTCTGCACACTACTGAGACATTGTTAATATTTTGGAAAGAGTCAGATGCTGTTGGTATTTATTCAAGGATGGCCTGGGTTTACATGTAGTTTGAAATCAGGAAAGCACCATGATTCACTTTCTTAAACAAAGAAAATATAAAACATTTCTTTTTAGCTAAATCTACTATCATTGTTTTCTATTATGAAGAAAACTCTTTCTAAAACAAACATGTAAGTCAAGCAGCAGAGTCCGAGGGAGGAGATCATTCTATATTTGAGGTGTCTACACGTTCCATCTGCTCCTCTAAGCTGGTCTTGCCTGTGGCCTTGTTATTCCCAGAGAACTGACAGCGCCAACAGTCCAAATGAGGAATCTCCCCTCAATTAGTGACCATGATGAAAAGTAAAACATTAAATCTAAATTATAAGGGAGCAGGGGGATCTCTTCCATGAGCTATTACTATTTCAACCACGGGAAACAATTTGACCCATAGATTGGGTGGGTCACAGTGAGAAATTTGACAAGCCTTAAGAAGTCTATTCTAAAGCTGTGTCTCATATTCTTCAAAATGTTGAAAGAATGCGCCTCTGAGAAAACATCCAGATGCAGACTCAGGAAGTATAAACACATGTAACTTTATTCTTGGGGTGGTTTTATTTTCTGTATTAAAATGGGTGGCATATCTTAAAATGCAATTACTGATTCATATCCTTAGTGGGATTTCTTCTAAAGTAGAAGCCTACTCTCCTGGCATGGATTCCTGCTTCCCTGGCCATTGCTGGCTCACGTTCCATAACCTATGACTTTTCTCCCAAACTCCACTGCAGTGTTCTTTCCACAAGACATTGATAAAATGCCTCAGTATTGTGAGTTTCCAGAATTATCTTTCTCTGTCAAAATCCCTTTCATGTCCAATTTAATCTCTTGGAATTTTCTCATTACCTCTGTGAGAATAAACCTGGGGGAATGTAAATATTGCCTCAGTCTACTAAGGGAATAATACAAACAGAAACTGGCCCTAGAGAACGGATCATGAGAAATGGTCCCTGGGGTACCAAGATTTCCTCACTTCCAGAAGTGGGAGCTCCTTTCCTGTGATTTGAACTCACTGGTCCTCTGGAATTACAAAGAGTAAATCTGATCTCTCTTTCACATCTCACACCCTTGAAGATTTAAAGACAGCTATGCTGGAGATTATCACCTCAGTGTGTGTGTGCGTGTGTGTATAAAATGTGTGTTTTTTATGTAAAGCTTCCTGATTTTGAGCATCTCCCATTCTCTCATTCATTCCCCATAAGATAAGATTTCTCAACTCTTCTTTGGGTAAACTTTCCTGTTTTTAGAGACATACTTAGTCAATATTTGCCCCTTTGAAGTACGGCATACAAAACTGAATGAAATGGTGTGAAAACGACCATTCGTATAAAAACCAGTGTTTCTTTCATTAACTATAGCACAGGTGTAGCCATCCCTTGGAAAATATTCTGTTTCATGATTGCTTTATAGAATATTGTTTTACTTATTGTTACAGTGTTGGCCTGGAAAACCTTTATTTTGCAACTTCATAGACTGCATGAGACTTTCAGTTCCATTTATCATTTTTGCTGACAATATGTGAGTTATGGTCATTATACTCATATCCTCACTTCAAGGAACATCCTCTTGGGTTAACGAGTATCTTAGCTACTTCCAGGACAGAACATAGAGATACATCTGTATGTTGAAAATGGCACCATCACCTTTGGCTTCCTCTTACAGAAGCCAGTGAGTGATGGACTGGTTACTAATACAGTAACAGTGGCTCAGCCTTAGTCTCCTTTCCTGCCTAAGGTGTCAAACATCTACACAAATTGGGATTCTCTATTCCAGCGGTCAAATGATTGACCATGGCTTTCCCAGACCCATATGTAGAGATCTAAGTAGCTGTACTTGCACACACAGTTTCTCTTTGCTCAGAAATATGGTCCCTCAAGATGGAAACAAAATAAAGAATGCTAAAAGGGAAGTGAGATGATCTCATTTCTTTCTACTCACAGCTCATTTACTAATTGTTCCAACTTGCATCTTCTATTTTGTTGCTGTTTTTGTAAAATAAGGTTAGAACAGCAGATATTTAAGGGCTCTTGGAGCTTTAAAATTTTTTAGACTATTTTTTAATCTTCCTCAGTATTAGCTAATTCTTTCCTTTATTTGAATATATTGGGGCCACATGGGCTAACAAAATTATACAGGTTTCAGGTGCACAATTCCACTGCACATCATCTGTACAATGTATTGTGTGTTCACCACCCTAAGTCTCTGTCCATCACCATTTATTCTACCTATGCCCCCTTCCACCTCCCCACACTCCCCTTTCCAGTAATCACTACACTGTTCTCCTTGTCCATGAGTTTTTCTCTTTTTATTCTTTTATGCTCAATCCCTACACCTCACCCCAAACCAGCCCCCCTCCCACAGCTCTCAGCCTGCTCTTTCTCTATGAATCTGTCTCTATTTTGTTTGCTAATTCATCTTGTTCATTAGATTCCACATATGAGTGAAATCATATGGTACTGTACTCCTGTATTTATTTCAGCATTACTCACAATGGCCAACATGGAAAAAACCTGTGTCCTTCAACAGGTGATTGGATAAGGAAGTGGTGGTACATCCATACAATGGAATACTACTCAGACATGAAAACTAATATAACATTGCCTTTTGCAACAACATGGATGGATGTTTAGAGTATCATGTTAAATGAAAACGTCAGATGGATAAAGACAAGAACCGTATGACTTCACTAATATGTGGGATGTAAAACAGAAAGCAACAAATGAACAAACAAAATAAAACAAACAAACTTACAGACACAGACAACAGTGTGGTGATTACCAGAAGGGAAGGAGGTTGGGGGGAGGTTGAAGAAGGTAAAGGGGATCAAATATATGGTGACAGAAGGAGACTAGAGACTGGGTGGTGAGCATACAATGTAATGTACAGATGATGTATTATAGAATTGTACACCTAAAACTTTTATAATTTTACTAATCAATGTTACCTCAATAAATTTAATTTTTTTAAATGACCTAAATGGATCATTTTGTTAGTGATTCATATAAACATGTTGTACAAATTTATCAATAGAAATCATTTCAATTAGGTAATGCAAAAGAGTGTTCTATACTAGGTAGCTCAGGTTAGAAGTTCTCATGTCACCAAAGTTTCACTAATTTAGTAATATTGTGAGTTCATACAAGTCACTTATGCTCTACAATTCTCACTTTATTCATGCATAAAAGGACAGAGAGTCCTATTTAAAGGATGTTATCAGTACTGAAATAGGTAAAATATGTGATAAGCTCGATTGAGTGCCTAATCTTCACATAAATTATTTTTCTTATATTTGCTATTTCCAGGAATCAGTAAGCCTAATATAAATTTTCAAAACTATTATACAGGCTCCTTTTTTTCCCTAGAAAGCAGAAAACTCTGCAGTTAACTAAAAAAAGAAAAAGAAGAAGAAGAAGAAGAAGAAGAAGAAGAAGAAGAAGAAGAAGAAGAAGAAGAAGAAGAGGAAGAGGAAGAGGAAGAAGAAGAAGGAGTCTTCAACACCCTGTATTTTCCAAGCCTTTTCCAGAGTAATTTATATATCGTTTGTGTGCTACCTGCAAGGGGACCTCTTTTAACAAGGCATTGGATGTTGGCATCTTTATCAGTTGTTTTAATGGTTCCATATTAGAGCTTTTTACCTGCAAAGAGATTTCTGGGAAGAAAAGGAGCAGAAAACCAAATGAAATGATAGTGTTGAAGAGTCTAATTTTAGGAGGAAAAAAGTGATGGAACATAAATTTGAAAATCCAAACATGTGCAATGCTACTGTGGGGCAACAAGCCTGCCTGTGGAAGGGGAGGGGCTGCAGGCCCAGCTGCAGTTTGGGTGCAGGCTGCAGGTCACCTGGCAGCACTGTGCTTCTGCTGCACAGAAGTAGGTGGCTGAGTCCCCCAGCTGGGAGGCTGTGATGCTCAGGGTACTGTCCCAGTCCTTAGAGTTCATTGTGGAGCTTAACCTTCCATCCTGCTTTGTCCCTGAAGTCATGAAAAACAGGGTGGTGAGGCCGCCCCCAGGATTCTGTCGGAACCACTGCATATAGTTCACTGTGGTGGAAAAACTGCACTTCAGAGTAGAATTAGTTCCCTCCTCAAGGATCAGAGTTGAAGGACTCTGCTCCACCGTCAACCCTCTCACCCCTGTTTGGAAAGAGAAAAACAAACACAAATGATATCACTGGGGATGATAAGTTTTCAAACCTGTAAAATATCCCAAGAAATACCTAGGTAGGAGCTCTGTGCCAGCTCTCACTTCCCCCTCACAACTGAGCTGTGGAACACTCCCCAGTTCTCCACCTGGGAAGACCCCAACTCACAGCAAACATGGGCCCACAGAAGCACCAGCAGAGCTCCCAGGTGTCTCTCCATGGCTTCTTGCCCAGTGGCTGGGGTGTCTCTGTCCTTGCTCTGGAGAGTGTGGAGTCCTGGACCAGGAAAATTTTGCTCCTTCTCTCAGTATGTTCCACCAGACTCACTGAGCACCCATCACCCGTCAGCTCTGTCATTCATCTTAACAGCAAACTCCACCCACAGCAGCTCAGGGAGATGGCACAGC